TAGCCATATACACATATACGTCCTACCAAAAATATCTGAAAGAAGTGCCCCAAGAGGAAAGAATAGCTAATTTTAATTAATGGACAACACCAGCAGAAGAACAAAGATACATTAACTGGCCACAAATAAATTCTGGAAATTGAGAAAGATTTCTCACTGAGCCAGACAGAGCAAAGAGAATTTGAAGGGATAAATACGTAGGGGTTTTTTTAAGAAGAAATTTGATAATTCTCTTGAAAAGGTTCCTATATGCAGCCTGTGATAGTGGGTGACTAGATCTACTAAGGAGTGCCAGTTCTTTGTCAGATAAAATATCACCACTTCAGTGATTCAGTTTGGAATACATCCTCAAATATTTGCAATTTATGCAGGGGAGACACAATAAAAAAGAGGGTTCCTGCCAAGCAGTAACCAGTCCTGCCAGGATGACCTAAATCTGTTGCCAAGTCAGATTTACCCTTCAAATTCAAACATGAGAGCTGCATCTGTAACTTACTCTGCTTGCACCTCCTCTGCTGCTGAGCCTGAAAGGGAAGGTCAGATCACAGCTTCAGGATAGCAATCGATGCTCCTGCATGAAAGGCAGCTTAATTTTAGCATCTGTAAGATCAAAATGCTAAAGAGCTGGCTAATAATTCTGCCTTGTGTTTGAGGGGTTAAGTGATGAAATTGAAGTGTTTACACAACCTTGGTAAATGACCAAAGTTTTGTACTCTAAATATTCAGAATGGGAAGTACATAAAGAGCAAACAAACAAGCAAATGGGCATAATGGCTGTCTCTCACAAATCTAAATCCCTGAAAGAATTCCTTTTCTAGGTAGATACTATAGAGATAGAGACTGGATTTATTAAAGCCAGAAGAGAAGAGCTTAAGTTTTTTTGCTTTGTTTTTTGTTTGTTTTTTGTTTTTTAATAGAACAGTCCTGTATTTATACTAATTCAACTAATCCAGGATACAGTTTACAAGTTTACATTAATACTTTTAAGAGCAACTTTATAATCTCATACAAGCCTGTGTTGTGACTTGCATTGAATGCACTGACTTAAACGGTCTTCATTTTAAAGAACTAATTGCTTCATACAGCAGATCAGTCCCAGCGGGGTGCATGCTACTGCTCAGTTTTCTCAGTGTGTTTTTTTCAGTCGCCACTTTGCTTCACTTGAAGAAGAAAAAAAGAAAAAAAAAAAAAAAAAAGATGTGGGAGTATATTTGTGAAGGGAGCTACTCCACCATTGTCTTACAGTCATTTCAAACATTAATTACAGCATTTTACAGTTAAGATAGGCCAATATATGTCCTACAGTAAGTCATACGTTCTTGCAAACTCATTTCTGAGCATTAATTTCTATGTATGGATAATAGGAAGTTTTTGAAGTTCAGTGTTAGCTGACTTTCTCCTTATTTTAGCAATCAGTTCAGAAGGGCACTTACACATTTCCGTAGCTTTAAGCATTTAAACTCTATTTGTACTACACAATTATATCTTTTGTTAATTATTGAAATGCCCTGCTACTCAATATAATTGTTTAAGCAGAAGCGTTCAGCATCCTGCCAAGCAGAGGCCTGAAAGAGAGCGTATAACAACCCTTGTCCTTGTTAGATCTTGCTCAGTAGCAGCTCGAGCAATGATAACAGAATGCTTTGCAAGGTCTTAATTTCTCATAGAAGTCTGACTGAATCATGCAATGCAACTGTGAGCCTGTACCACGCCTTCCTAGAAGGCCCCTAAAATTTCTCCAGCCTACTTCACTGTCCAGGTTGAGAGCTGAGAGTCTCTCTTAACTGCCCCTATCTCAAGAGACAAAAAGAAGATACAGAAAAACCAAACCAGCCCCCTTTCCAAACAATCAAAATCAAAAAGCCAGCCTTAGGAAACAAAAGCAAATGCCATCTCTCCTTTCAAACCCCCTTTCTAAGCACTGCAGCAGGTTCTCCTCTTCAAATGGAAGGCTACAATATACCAACAGTGTCAGAAGTTTGTAAGTGTCTACCTCTCTCCTCCTGGTTCAGAGAGACAAGGTGCTTCCCTACAACTAGCCATGTTTCCTACCATGAACAGAGAAGATTGCATGATGCCCTGCCCATTCAGTTGAGTGGGCAGCAGGGAGGGTACTCATTTGGTATATGGAACAGGATTCAAGCATCTGTAACAGAGAGACAGGTACATAAGACTTTTTTCAAGATAAATTATCTTGGTACCTTTCCTCTTCCTCTACATCACCTTCTGATGTCCCCTGGAACTTCTGGAAACAACTAAACTGACTTATCTAAAGCATCCTGTCAGACATTAAAGGATACCGTCACATACTAATCATACCCCAGGCACAGACGGGAAGACAATTGCTAGAGTTACCTCACTACCAAAAATATCTATAAAGAACAATAAGGCCACATAAATAAACTGAGGCAATACATAAGTAAAGGTCCTAGAGAATTTTCCCTGAGTCAATTTGTTGAAAAAGCTGCAGGATCCTCCTAAAGGGGGCTGGGGAGCCAGAACAAAGAACCTCACAAACATTTTTGAAGCAACAAGTTCTTTTTCATAAACTGCCTGAAGCAGCTAAAATAATGATCTTGCATAATGAGAAAGGAACAATTACAAACTTCTGGTCCCACAGGGAGCCTATTGTCTAATTAAAGTATTTGGAATTTCTATGACATTTAGAAACAAACTGGACAGGTTTCCTACTTGCTGAAAATGGGAATGGGCCTTCTATCTATTAAAGCAACAGCACAAAAAATACCTCTTCCCATAGCGATTTCAGTGCCAGTTTTCTGTTTTATTAACTAAGAACTTTGTGAGAGTGATTTGTTCGATTGAGGCTGTTAAAACTTTTAAAGGATTAACAGACAGATTATTAGAGCGGTTTAAAGAGTAATACAGACCCCTCTGAAATCTTTATGTCTAGTTAGCAGAAAGAAAAAATTCCATGCATCTCCAGAGTGATATTTTACCTGTAAGACCTATCAAGCAATGGGAAAAGTCTTTCCTTTCCAATACTAGCTATACATGCTCTTCCCTTACAAGGAACAACAGGTTGCATGAGGCATTCTCCGCAGTGAGACAGCGATCAGCATCCTGCCTTGCAGGCCAGCCAGCTCCATCCCCCTCTTACATACAGTCCCCCCTGGATCGTACACAGACCTCTATCAGTCACCGGCCAACTTGGCTGTGCTTCCTCCATCTCTGGTCTTTCCCTTGGAAACTCTGTTTTATTTAACTACTTCGCAGGTGATGGATCTGGTTTCTCCTTGTTCTCCTGGCAGCCAACCTGACCCACCTTCCTTTAGCTTCTCTCAGAGAAGGTCCACAAGCAGCCACAGCAGAGGACCAGTCAAAAGCTGCTCATTAAGCATCTGCGATAAAAGAGGAAGCCAGCAGCTCCTCACAGGAACAGCCCAGCACAGAGGGTGGACACTAATGAAGACGACTACATGATAGTTGGTAGAGCATTAACAGTGCTTCAGGAAGAGAAGGAAGTAATAACAGAGGCGAGTGAGATTAGAAAAAGGAAGAGAAAAATAAAGAAATTTAGCAAGGACGCTTTATCTTAGTAAGGAGGAGTTCATTTTCTCTAGATACATGCATATGCGCAGGGATTACTTTTGGGTGTTTTCCTAATTCTGTATGCAAAGCCTGGGTCTGTACAGTGTCAGCTGGGCACATGGCCTTACAGCTAAAGCTGAGCCTTCAATTCCTGTAGAATATACAGTCCCCCTGAATGTATGGCCTCGTGTTGCTTTAACAGTTCTAAATTCCACATGAAAAAATTTAGTATTAAAGAACAATAAAGTCAGCCATAACGCTCTAAGTTGTACTGTGCCGAAGCATAATACGATTATAAATTCCATTCATTTACAGAAGTATTCCAAGAGGACCATTTACTGCAAGTAGGATTATCGTTAGCTAAAAATACTTTGTACAGGGAACTCATGATTTTATTCCTTTGATTACAGTCTTCTTTTATATGAGAACCTGAAAGAAGGTCTAAGGGCACACAGGATTAGGGATAAGGTGTTTGGGGCTGCCCACCAGACCTCAGTATACTAGAGAATATTAATTTAGCATAAATAAGGCATAACAGGAAAACAGAAGAGGTACTACAATTTGAAAGGCTGAGATCTGCTAACGTTCTCAGGTCATAAAAATCTGTCTTATGGAAAAGGACTGCATAATTCCAAATGTAAACAACCTCCCCTGTCAGTATCTTAATATTTTGCACTAGCTTAAATATTTTCCAAAGGAGAGAGAATTTCCTAAAAGGATAGTTAACACAAAATGCTGCCTTTTTACTTCATGTGTGGCCTGGTATTCCACTGAATTCATCCTACTGTTGCTCTGCCCATGCAATGCAACGCCTCCTTACTAATGATCCAAACTATGACATGCAGCAGCCACCACGGACTCAAATTCAGCATTTGTATATTTTCCTCAGAGTTGGCATGATAATGCTTTTCATTGCTTTCAATCCCACTACAGCAAAGGGAAAAGGAAAAAAAAAAAAAAAAAAAAAAGTCTTTCACAGAGAAAGCATCACACACACTCGCACATGGTATTTGGAGGAGTATTCCAAGATGGCCATTTACTGCAAGGAGGATTATGGTTACCTACATATACCTTGTGCAGGGAGTCGATTTATTTATCCTTTTCATTACAGCCTTCTTTTACATAGAAGAAGTACAAGGTGCCTAAATTCAGAAACGCAATGTTTGGGACAACTCTTGCTCCTTGATCTCTAACAACCAATTAGGGGGTTTTGGAGGGGGTTTTGGGTAGAGTTTGTTATCAGAACATTTTTATTTCACCAAAAGCTCCTGCCAACCATTCACATCAGCGTTTTAATGCAAAAACAGGTGCAGTTCCTCCCACCGCAATCCCTCACATAGGGAAGTCTGATATCGAATCAAACTGCAGGGTCTGGCTCATTTCAGAAATCGAGATGCATTAGACTGGCTCAGTTACTTGATGACAAGAAAGAAAGAAAAGTTCCAACTTACCACCCCACCTCCTGCCGAGTGAACCAGCACAGACATGCCTTCTCTTAGGTTAGCAACTTCAAAGAGCATCATGTAGGCAGTTACAAAGTTCATGGGAAATGCAGCAGCTTCAGAAAAACTCATGTCATCTGGGATCTTGTAGACAAATTCTACCGGGGTACATACTACTTCAGCCCATGCATTGTAGTTTACAAAAGCCATGACTCTGTCTCCAATCTACAAACAAGGAAGAAAACAACGGCTGCAATTGAGACCGTAGAGAGCAGCTTGTAAGACCTGCAACTCTCCCTGTTCAAGCTGTGGGTCACTGACTGACTGTGAAGATAATGGTGTTCCACGTCTTTGGCAAAATAGCAGTTAAGCTGCTCAGCTTTGGGCTTTTACCATTTTTTAATTGTATTTATTCAAAAAGTTGAATTTAACAAAAATATCCAAAGTTAAATCCACCTCCTCTTTTTTGCTACACTGCTTCTCTGATGGAGCAGTCTTCCATCATCACTAATACAGATCATCTTTTGCTAGCAGAGCTCCTAAATAACAAATAGGGCTGCAAACAATGAAAATAATATTCTTACTAATAACCAGGAAATTTGCTTGCAGACAAAAGAAAAAAAAAGAAAAAGGAAAAAAGATTATTCCATGCATCTCATCAATATCATTATAAACAAAATTATACCTAATTTTCACTTTGCTTTCTCAGTCTTCACACTAATTTAGAGCTACTTTTCCTCTCTACGGATTGAGAAGGGGTGGCCTTGTAGTCTGGTAGATAGGACACATGAAAGGGTTCGGAAACCACTCGTTTAGAAGACACCACCATCTGTATCCACTCCCTATTTTTATTATCTTAATAACTGATTCTACCAAAACATTTCCATGATTGTCATTTGTACAGCCATGTATCAGAGCAGAATTTGATCCTGCAACTTCAAATAAGCCACCTTAAACATCAAAAACATACCTCTGGATTCTGAGGCACTACCAAGCCTACAAAGTGAATTTGACAGGATTTAAAGGGGCAATGAAACATTCTCTTTGAATGCAACATTTCTCTACTCAATTTCTTTGGAAAATATATAGTAGTGAAAGGGTATTTCACTATGGAGAAATATACAGTATTCAATACAGTAGGTTGCTCCTAGGAACCTTTCAGAGGTCCAGGGACATCAAATTCATACATTTGTATAATGGCCTTCATTGCAACTTCAGGTTTTTAAAATGGAGATAGTGACTCCCCACAGATGGACAAGAATAATAACAGGGCAACAGGAGCTCCGAGGCTCCTGCAGGGGTACAACCAGACTTGGAAAGCAACACTCGCATAAAACTAGAAATTGGTCTATTGGGGCTACTAGGGAGAGCCACAGTGAGCAAATGTTTGGCGAATATATATTAAAACCTTCACAGGCACGACTCTTACAAACTCTCGATAATGGCTCGTCCCCAGCAGCCCCTACGCATTGTTTACCTTGTCTTAGACCTCTTTGCCTTTTTATAATACACCAACAAATACAGCATCCTTAACCATTAAAGGAGCTCTTCAATGGAGCCACAGTATAATAAGGCAGGAATAGCACGAAACTTCAGGACTTCATGTTTTACCTAAAACTAACAGAAGCTGTCCTTCTAAAATACCTTTGCTTATCTGCTTGATATTCTCTCTCTTATGTTCTTCTAATACCCACTAATGCTTTAGAAATACTACAGGTTGTTTTTGGACTATTTCAACAATTTTCCACAGTAATGGAGTAAAGCACAACACTTTTACCTTCAGGCAAATGTTTATAGCACAAGCACATTTTGGTCTCCGAAGTAGTTGTCATCACTTTGGCTTTGGGATACTGTGGGTTTGCTAAAAGCTAAGGTGCTGCTGACAGTTCTGAAGGGTTTGTCTCTTTTAGAATGAGGATGCTGAAACAGAACTGTCATTCCAATTTCACCTAAATGCCGCCTCCTTTTGAAAAACACATGCAAATTAACAATGCCTCACTGGTAACCACTCTGTGGTTCCCTTCTGCTGTTAAAGAAGCGTCTAAAATCTAAAGTCTGTTAGGATTAATAAGTGAAGGTGTTAATGTGTCCTATATCCTTGCAAACAAACATAAATGATTACCAAAAAGAATGCAGAAAATTATTACCAAAAAGAAAGTCTCTCTTTGTGATTCCCAAGGGATTTCTTAGTAACAATAAATACCATGTTTCACTACAAACACTATACAGAGCCTAGTCATCACATCAGATTAGGCTGTAGCTCCTGAGAATCATCCCCACAACTAAAGAGAGATCAGGCCTGATACATTTGAGCTTAGCAGAAATCAGCTTTTTCTTTTAATGGGAGAAGGAATAGGCAGTTACACCATTATTCCATAAAAAAGGCCTTCTTTCAATGTAAAATATGTTCTTACACATCACCGCCAAAATGGATTGCCATTCAATGCTTTCATTTGTCATAACGCAATCACAGCAAGTGAAGACAATAAGCGGCTGGCAATATCTCAGCTGGCTGAGATTGACGGCTACAGGCCAGTAAGACACGTTTTTCCACAGCATGAAATCCCCATGACTGTAACGTGACTTGAACTGGAAGAGATCTACAAAGGGAAAGAAGGTCAGAAGATATAGGGTGCAATCTTTACCATTCCTGCCATCGTTATGGACAGTGGTAACAGCATATGTCAAGGAGACAAGAAGCATCTGGCGTGCTCCTATTCTGTGCAAGAAATCCATAAAAAAACCTGACAGAATATTCTTCATCTTCCTCATGGTATGTTCTCCTGTTGATGGGTTCATAACTGTGCACAGCAGTTATTCTGAGTGTCAACCCTTCTTCTAGATCACTCAAATACTACCATGGCTATGCAGATTATATGCAAAAAATAAAATACCACGGCTTGTTTCAATTTCAGGGAATTTGAATTTCAGGGACTACCAGAGTACAAACATGCTCTATAGTCAGAACAAAGATATAACTTTGAAAGAGACCTGGTATATACAGTCAGGTGCAATGTTTTTCAAACAAGCACCATATGCTGTAGCCTCACGATGCCCTTCAAAAATAGCAAGAACTTTTAAACTGAGAATGCTGATCTAGAGCAGAGACTTTCTATACACCTTTCACAGAATATTTCACAGAATATTCTTCGGTATGGAGCATACCTACAAAACACAGATACTAGAGCGGAACAACTAAAACAACAGAGTTTTTCAAACAGCAAAGTTATTGTTTGTCACAAAAAGCACCAGAAGATTATGACTTGTTTCAAGGGGGCAGGAGGGGGAAGGTAGAGAAATGTCCTAAGAAGAGCTCATCACTGAAGCCCTACTAGAAACTGAATTGGTCGTTATCTCTACTCAAATGAGAAATTTTACAGCTCTTCTAGAAGAGCAAAAATGCTACCTTTAAATAAAAATATTTTAGGTAACTGCCTTAATATACAATAAGAATTCAGAAAATGCAATTACTTGATAACATGACTGACTCAGCAAATAGCTAAGACAGAAAAATTTTGAAATAAAAACTGAGTTAATGCACATCAATCCTATCTACTTAGGAAATAAAGTGCAAGATTGGAGGGAATATAGAAGTCTAACATCAATAATGGTATAGGAGGTAGGACACAATGCTGTTTATATGTAATAAGAGATACTGAAGAGTACATAATGCCAACCAGTTATAAAAGCTTTATTATATACATTAACTATTTGTTATTTATCACTATTCTGTTAGGTGAAATAGATCCTTTTGCTGAGTGATTGGAGTAAGTCACATACCCAGAATCAGCGTCCCAATTTTACTGCATCTCCTGAATCCACATGTTTGTAAGAAGCAATGCTTATTGTAGATGGGGGTCTTGTTAACTTAAGATCAAAAGTTGGAACTAGAATCAGGAGTGCATGGGCTTCGAGGAACAGAGCAACGATGAGAGCAAACATGGCCAAGAAAAGAAATTTAACAAGTTAACTCAATTTTTTTTACTTTCTTAAAGCACATCGGTCATGCTTTCCAGTTCCTACTTAGCCATTTGGATATGCACATGGCACAAGTGCCCTTCCAGCAAGGATTTGAAGGAGATGACAGCGGTGGCTTTAGAAACTAATTCAAGAGGTCATTCTCATGCTTGGGAAGCAGCAAGGAAAAATTGCCCTTTCAAATCTCAACAGGGTGGTGAAGGCTGCTGTCACTGGCAGAACAGAAAGGATTAGGGACAACATACTCAGTGAACTGGTGATTATTTAGTCTTGCTCTGCAAATAACGACGGTATTACCTCAAATCCTTTCACGCTATCTCCAAGAGCTTCTACAATTCCAGAGCATTCAAACCCAGGAACAAGTGGTGTCTTAGGAGGGTTGTCGATATTCCCCTGTCGCACCATCAGATCAATAAAGTTCAAACCACTGCAAAACACAGGAAAAAAGATAAAATCAAGACTATTACCACAGATCAAAGCAGAGGAGGAAAACTTGACCTGAGTAATGGGAAAGCCAGAAGACTTCAGGGCAGCACTAAAAAGCATAAGAGGGACCCAGCAGACATTCACATTCTTCACGCGTGGAATAGACTTTACACTGTGCTCTACAGGCCTCGGGCAGAAGAGTACACATGCAAGGCAACCATATCCGTCATTAGCCCCAAAGCTTACAAGACTGTTCAGGAGTCACATGTAGAAATTCACAACGGCCATTTAGAAATTCAATACAGTGAAACATTATGATTTCTATTAATGCATTACTAGCTGGCAAGTAAACCCAGTTCTATTTAAGAAGAAAAACCCAAACCTCAGACATTATAGATGTCTTGAGCCAAGAGCAACCTGACATAACTGTCCTAACCTCTGATGGTACTCCAGGAATGAATCTTGTGTTCATCCCAGGCAGGAGTCCAAACTTGGACATGAACTTATTAAGTATCAGATAGGCTGTTGTTTTAAAACTGTTCCTCCTGGACCACTTTTGTAGTTTTGCAAAGGTTATTTACGTCTTTGGAGCCCTCAGGGTTGCTGCTTAGAAAAAATACAGGTCTTCCCCTGTAGTCTCAGTTTTGCAAAAAATCTTGGAGCATCTTTTCTTTGTCTTTTATATGCTATCTAATTTCACTAAACAAAATTTTGTGGTTTTCTAGGCAGCCACAAAAAAACACCCAAAAGAGGTACTGTGTTTATTTACTGATTACTGGCACAAATGCCATACATACAGTTAAAACTTCTAAAACTCCTAACTAGCTAAAATATATTTCAGCATTAATCCGTTGTTCCAAAACACAGCCCTGTATTTATTGTTAGCCAAAATTGCTGCATGCTAACTCCCCCGACTCTATGAAGCTATGCACACAGCCAGTCCTACTCACGCATACGATACCAGCAACTGCTTGGATACATAAAATTACTGATGTGCACAAGTATTTATAAGATGGAGCTTTAGTCAGATACTAATAAGACACATACGGATTGAACAGACCCAACAAACAAAAAGACAGAGTAGACACAGCGCACGAAGACAAGACAGTATTCATGAGGGGGGGGGGGGGGGTGGGGGAGAAGGAAATTTCACCAAATGTAAATATTTGTAATTGTGGTGGAGGGTTTAAGAGCAATCTGAACCCACAACTTTTAGCTCTGTAAAAGCAAGATTATAGATTATTTTTGAAAAACATAACTTTGACAGTCTAGCTTGACAAACTCAGGAGAAAAATTAAAAATTAAAAAAAAAAACCAAACCAAAAAAATACCCCAACATGCTCATACACAAAGCTCATAACATTAACCATATGGAAGGTTAGAAGGGGTCTAGCACAATTAAGTTAGGAGCTTTGAAATGATTTTGGAAAGGCCACTTCTTAGTCAGTGGCTAAGACCACCTCCTATATTGCCACTGTAATGTTGATAATGAAAGAGAAATTCCAAGTAACAAAATGCTTGCAAGGCAGTCATCATTTGGAGGGGGGGACAAAACACCACAAAACCAAAAAACCCATAACATACATGGTGGCTACCATTGCCTCTGCGTATTGACTTCAGTGATGATCTTTGAATACATCTTTCCACACTATAAGCATTTTACAAAAAGGTAACTTTTTCTACATTCCTGCAAGAAAAGGCAGCTGGAGGCAGAACTGTGATGCCTGTGTAGGAACACACACCATGACATCGTAACAAGTAGGCAACAAGCAGACGGATATGGCAAAGACCATAGCTATTTGATAATGACATATGATTACAAATACATTATGGCAGCTCTTTCTAGAAACAGTCATTCTTACGAAATAACTTGTCAGACAATTTTTGAAAGGGCACATACTCACTTTTGCATCTAACAACATAACACTACCAATTCAGCTCTGTTCCAGTTCCATTTCTCTTTCGTCTGTCTTTATCCTCAATAAAAGGCAGCAATATTAGATAAAATAGAGAGTTCATCTCTATTACAATGAACTTACAAGACCTGATACTAGAATAGGTGTGATAAGGAAAGGAAAAAACACTACACAAGGTATGTAATAACTAAGTCACGTGTTTTTATCATTTTAATTACTAGCTGGAACATAGAGTGTTGACCAGCATTTCTAATCATTTCTAGTCACTTTCCAGAGAGTTTCCTCTTCATTCACTTCATCTTTAATCTCCTATATGTCTATGTATTGTCACATCCCTGTTACTCTCATACATGCATTTGTTTCCATTCTTCTCCACTTTCATGTAAGGACAGAAATAAGTTATTTTATGTTATCTGCCAAATTTGAACAAGCCTCATCAACACCAAGAGACCTGAAAGCACAATTACGTTGTACAGCAGTTTATATATATTTTTTTTTTCCTTTGAATAACCTGGAGGGCCCAAAGAGGAATGGCTAGTTCAGTAACTACCTCCAAGACACCCAACCTTATCAAGTCCTTCATTGAGATTCAACCTACAGCAGACACCAGAAAAGGGAAGTTTGGCTGCACAGAATATCACAAGAGAATATGTCTCATGAAGAGTGATAGTTTTAGAGAATAAGCACAATTTATTTCTTGTATCCGTACAAACCAGCATAGGCTGTTATGGTGTGTAGCCACAGAAAGTGACTCCTGAACTTTAAGTAAGGGCATATGCAGAGGGAGAAGTGTAAATGCAATGTGATCCAGTGACAAAAATTTCTTGCGGTCGTGTATTTTTAATCCTAAATCAAGAGCTGGATGCAAATGAAGATAGGGAAGGATAGGAATTACCAAGATCAATACATTGACAGAGGGGTTCTGCAAGAACCTTTCTGTGAAAGAGCAGGGATATTGGTGTGAACTGCATAGACTGTATTACCTGTGCATCTCTGGAGGCAGAGTTTATCAAACATGGAAGTATCTTTGAATCTGACTTTCTAAGTGTGCAATGCTCTGCCTTAATACCAGTTTTGAAGATCTTGAATATTATTTTCTATATTTGTGGTTTAGCTTTGCTGCATTTTTATTTTCTTTTTTTTTTTAAGTGCGGAAAGTCCTGTGGATAGAAAGCTGTATTCTAGACTTCCTTCACCATCAGACCAGCAACGGTCAACTTGGTTCTCCTTGCTTTGTCCCAGGCACTCGAGGATGCCCAATACCTTCCATTGCAAAATACCAAATCATGCAGACCATCCTTCACACTTTGGTTTGGAGAGGTGCTGCTTTGGATCTGTCTTTCTTATTTCACTGTAAGACTCCACTAAAATTAATTACTGAAGTTAATGAAATACAATAGACCAAATAAGAGGACCACTGAGTTTTACATTCTTAAAATCCTTCCTCTTACCCCTGGCCAGCAAATTTCCCGACAATCTTTATTAAAAAAAAAAAAAAGTGGAAAGTTTTAAAATGATCAGATCTCATGCTTTTTATCCAGAAACACCCACAGTATATGAACAAGACTGCCTCTAAGGACAAAACTGATACTCTGCTATACTAAGGATTTCTTTTATTTGCTACCAGTTTTTTAAAGTGCTGCTACCTCACAGTCACAGAGTCAGAAGGGTCACTTCTGCCTCATTCCTCATGACGCACATGTATACTAGCACAACGAAGAAATAATTATAGCAGAGAAAAGAAAAATAAAGGGAGGTAATTACAGGACACCATTCCTTATTCACACACCCTATCTGAAATACTGCTTCCATTTGTTCTAGCTACTTCTCTAATCTTTTAAACAATATGTTTACTAGTGTTTCGCAGACTGCAAATTATAATACAAACAAATACAGCAATGTCAACTGCTCCGACATTATCAATCAAAAATTATTTCAGGAAATATGCAGAAGCTGTGACTCAGCTTGGACATCGATAGCTGTTCCATTTCTTAGTCACTGAATGAGGCTAACACATGACTCATCTCAGCTGACACATTTTCAATTGGATCATTGATATTCCAGACCTTCAAAAGAATTATTCATCTGGCTTAGTGCTAATAGCAACATATCATCCATCTCCTCCATTTATAGTACCATGCTACAAAATGTATACATAGGATTTAACTGTTGTATACATATAATTCAACTGGTTTCATCTCCCAGTGAATGCAGAGACCACATAGAACTTGCACTTTTTACTCATATATACTATTTATCATGCATGCACACGTTCTTCTTAAAATAAAGACTATTTTTCTCCACAAGTTGATGGAGAAAAATAGTCATAATCTATAATGATGACTGCAAAACTGATTCAACTAAAAACATTATTTGTCATGAATATGTCTTACCAGAGCAACCCATCTTTGGCATGTTCAGCACTGCGCGCATTAACATGTGCATACTACACTGGGGAAAGCCAACAGACATTTTTCTCACTCAGTCTCCCAGACTAGACCACAAGTCCATCATCATCCTGATCAATCTTCTGTATTTACGGACTCGGGTCAAGAAGATCAGCAAATTGATTTTTGCCTTGTTTGGAAGCACACTTTGGTGACCTGATCACATTTCAGCCCTATGGCCATTTCCAGCCAGGAATGACAAGCAGATGCTACACAGGCTACAGGCTCCTCTGGCCTGAAGGGAAGCTTCCAAAACACACATGGTATTGTGCAATCTGCAGCAACTATGAAGCAGTTGAGCAGGTCTCCTGATGTCAAACAGCAAGCGTGCAACTCGCACAGCTCACTAGTGATAATGCAACCCTGGAAAGCAACTGTAGTTGCAGAGCTGACTATTTCTATTTTACAGCTAAGTGTTCTTCTGCAGGTAACTTGCTATTTGTGATACACACATATCTACTGCTTTGATGAAAGTGGAATTCATACAGGTACTGGAGAGTGCGCTAAACCCCTCAGGCATTTAAAGGAATATGTCCATGCACTCAGAACATTTTAAGTTTTGCATGCTAACTTCTGTAACACAACAGCTGAAAAAAAAAAATCACTCAGAAAACAACACAGCCTATTCTCAAATGGAATTACAGCCCTGCTTGATAGCAAAATGAGCTACCCAGCAACTACTATGCTACCATTATTTCTTATATGTACCTACCATGGAATTTCTTGCATTTCCCATTGTGACTAATGGAGAAAAAAATAAAATAGAATGCAAAAAATCTCAGCCGTTCATTTATTAGTCCTCATTCAGATTGATGGATATCACCATTTTTCATGGGCAACACCTTGGGGTGGTGGAGGAAAATACTCGGTCACAAACCCCATTAAGTATAGGATGTAAAGCCCAGTATCTGAACAGGCCAAGACATTCAGCTACATTAACCTACCGGGGTGTTCCAAGACCTGAGGCACATCCACTGCATACATCGTTCAAAACAAGCTCACTGCCCCATACCAGTATAATTTTTGATGCAAGTTACTTCTAAAATAAACAACTTGGCCTTCACCTTGGAATTTATCTTCCAGAAGCACCATGTTTTCACAGAAGAGGACAACAAAAGATAAATCCCCGCCTAGGCGAAATTAATTTGGTCTTTGGTACACATCAAGTTGTGTAATAAGACCCTAATGTTGCTTCTGTCACTTAAAAAAAAAATTCCTATTTTCATGAAGGAACGTGCGCACTGAGAACCAGCTATCTAGGAAGAACAGTCTGCTCCAATTGTCTGGGAAAAAAAATTAGCCTTCTAGGAAAGCTCGTTTCAGGATGCTACCAGATTGCTAGCCACTTGTCAACTGGGCACAGGAATTAAGCACTGGTAAGTTATCCCCAGCTCCAGCTACGCTGTCACGCCAGCTCCCGAGAAAAATTATGATGACTGAAGTGATTCCCAGGAGAAAAGTAACAGCTACTATCAGAAGGGAAAGGGACAGGTGCTGAGAAACACACACAAGCTGGCGCCCACATCTCTCAGAATGAAAACAACAAAACCCCGAACACAGCTGGCCAGCTCTTCCCCCCATTTCTCGCTGCTGGTACCCTGAAAATCAACGACAATTTTTTTCCCTTCACAGCTGCTGCTGACAGCACACAGACCGCCAGCTTTACCCCATGCCCGCCTTGTACCAAGTGACCCGGAGCTCAGCCCCGACCCCGGGGCGGGTTTCCCGGGTGCTGCCGCGGGGAACCGGGGTACCTGAGCAGCGGCGGCAGCGGGGCAGGAAGCTGCAGAGGCAGCTCGGAGCGGGGCCCCCCACC